TTCTGTTCTCTCATTCTCACTACTTCCTTCTCTCTTCTTGTGTGTTGCCCAGATGTCATTCGCTATTGTCACACTGGACACAAGCCTAGGTGGACATTAGCACTACAAGACAAAGTCTCCATTAAAGCCCAGGCATAGACTCTGGAAATCAGGAAGAGGTGAAAGTGCTCATGGCACATATCCAATGTCACCAGTCACATAGTCATGTGAGATCTGGGTGGGCTTTCAAACAGGATCCAGACTCTTCTCTATCTTGCATAAGGAAAAGCCAAGATATAGGGAGACAAACTGGATTTCAGGCAAGGCATTTGCAGACCTGCCTCCTGTATAGGCAGAATCAAGTTTACCATGTCAACCCTTTCTTGTAGGATTAAAATTTACCGTGAATTATCATAATCAAATCGTATGCCACTAAGGAATTGGCTGACGCATGGTTTCTCTGAACATTAGCCATGAATTTTATCCTTTGTGGCTTTGCATATACTCCTTCCTCTCTCTTCTTGAAACATATATTGCTTGACCTGCCACATGTCAAGTTTTTATTTGTTATTTGGAACACCAGAACAATTCTTAGGTCTATCAGTCTCCCTTAATATAAACTCTTCTGCAAGAGTAATTTGAGTAACACTCAGCCTTTCAACATATCTCTTAAAGAACTTTCTATTTTTGCTTTCTTTCTCATTATTGCCATATATTATTCATCAAGAAAGGCAACTCCAGAGTCAATTTAGCCTCTATCTTCCAGGGGCATCAGGCACATGGCCTCAGATATAATAGGCATCAAAAGGGTATACTAAAAGAGGAAAGAAAGGGCAAGTGCCTCTCTAACTTCACAGACCTATAAATGGAAATTGAAGAGCCTCTAGATAATCTTTATCTGCCCTCTTATCCAGTTCTTTCATTGTTTTTCCATAATAGCTGGTGAAGATTATGGGACGGGACAATGACAGCTACCTACAGACATTCGTCCTGGTGGGATTTTCTGATCGACCTCAGTTGGAGATGATTCTCTTTGCATTTATTTTGGTCTTTTACATCCTAACCTTGGCGGGAAACACTGCCATCATCCTCTTGTCAATCATGGATGCCAGACTCCACACGCCCATGTACTTTTTTCTTGGGAACCTGTCTTTCTTGGACCTCTGTTTTACAACAAGCATTGTCCCTCAGCTACTGTGGAACCTTTGGGGTCCAGAAAAGACCATCACCTATCATGGCTGCGTGGCCCAACTCTACATTTACATGGTGTTGGGCTCAACTGAGTGTGTCCTCCTAGCTGTCATGTCCTATGACCGCTATGTGGCTGTCTGCCGGCCCCTGCACTACACAGCAGCCATGCACCCACGTCTCTGCTTGCAGCTGGTAACTGTGGCCTGGTGCTGTGGCTTCCTAAATTCCTTTGTCATGTGTCCTCAGACAATGCAACTCTCCAGGTGTGGACGTCAAAGGGTGGACCACTTCCTGTGTGAGATGCCTGCTCTTATCGCCATGTCCTGTAAAGACACCATGCTAGTGGAAGTCTTTGCCTTTGTCCTGGGTGTTGCCCTCCTCCTGGTGCCCCTCTCCCTCATCCTCATCTCCTATGGGATGATTGCTATCACTGTGCTGAGGATCAAGTCAGCAGCAGGGCGCAAGAAGGCCTTCAACACCTGCTCTTCCCACTTAACAGTGGTCTCTCTCTTCTATGGAACCATCATCTACATGTATCTGCAGCCAGCTAACAGCTACTCCCAAGATCAGGGGAAATTCCTCACTCTCTTCTACACCATTGTCACTCCCAGTATCAACCCCCTCATTTATACTCTGAGAAATAAGAATGTGAAGGGAGCGATGAGGAAAATTCTGGGGTGGGAAAAAGGGTCTGGGGGAGCCTAAGTGAGGGGAACATTTCAGTAGTTTAGATGATTTGCTGGCAGTGCTCTCTTAGGTATGTCTGCAACCTTGTGGAGAACTACTACTCATAGAGTAGAATGACTGAAGAAAATTGTGCAAAAGTAGGTGCAATGCTTTTGAGTTTGACTCATCCTCTGCCCTCTGAATGTGAAATGGTGGCCTTCTGACTAAAGGTGCCTGCTTTAGGAAACCTCTGGTGCATGTTGCATTTTCCTCATCATGATTTATCTACAACTGCAGGGGACCTAGACAACTAATTCAACCACACAAAGTCACTGGGCAGTCTGCAGACCATGTCAAATAAAAATGGAAACAATGCGAGTGGCTTTTCCTCAAAGCTCCTTTTTTAATGATACTGATAGCTTTTCAAAGAGGGAAGAGTCAAAACCAGTAAAACCACAGTGCTCTGTCCTGGGTATAGGCTGGTTTTCCATGTGAAGGGGTGTCCTTTGAGTTTCTTTTGAAAAGAGTCTGCTCAGTGTTATTTGCACCTTCTCCTTAACCTTTTCTCATAGCCAAAGTGTTTATTAGAGAGCAGACTAGAGTTGGGCACTCAAGTCTTTGGAAAGAACAGAGCAAATGACACATATCTGGAAAAAGTTAATGACTTTATTCTCCTTAGTGGGTTTTCTTTTCTAGTTGTTTGGGATTCATGGAAGGCACAAAGAATTAGGTTACACTGATGGCATTTGTTAGGTAAAGTCCTTCTTATAATTGTGTCCCACCCCCAAGATGTGTGCCATACACCATGATCCCCATCTCCCTCTCTCCTCTCCTCTCCTTACTCCCTTCTTCCCTTATCCCC